GCTAAAGCGAGAGGGAGAGGTGTTCTATGTGGGGATCGAACCCACAATACTTAAACCACTACGCCATCAGTGCAATCGTTCTGGGCTATAGTCAGTTCAGTCAACCATCAGTTTACCCGTTTGCTCTTTTACCCCAAAACTAAAAAAACAAAGGTATTAAGCTTAAGGGTAATCTGTTGCGCGTTGCTTAATTAGAAAACCAGCAATTAAGTTGTTGTTTACTTTTAGTGAAAATTTCGAATCATTATTTTAAAATGTGCTAACGCCCTTGTTGAGCATTGTGTCACAACACTATTGCTATTCACCGACAGTATAAAGGTGAATTGGCGGCGAAAGCTTGTCAGACTCATTGCGTTCCTGCCAACAACGCCATGTAGATTTTCACAATATACGCCAGCAATGAATGATTTGCAAATGATTTCGAAAATTTTCTCTCCTATTATTGGCTGACACCAGAATGTACAGATGTACTCTGTAATGTGATACGAAATTAAAATTTTAAATTATTTTAGATTAGCTTCAACTGGTTTTCAAATTAAGAACAAAAAAAAGTTTAGAATTAGATTTTATGCTTTTTGAATTATTAATTTCTTCAAATGTATATTTTGGAACATAACTAAACATCAGATTGTATTAGAATTATTACGTTTGGTTTTGACTGTACGAAAAACTATTGCTAAGTAACTATTTAAAATAAAATAAAAAACAATTGGCCGTTAACGGTTACCTGTGCTTATAGAGTGACACAATTGGCAATTCAACTATTGGCACTTAAACCTTCTCTCGTGGACCTTTTTCAAACTTACTCAGCAAGAAGAGCACGCCCTTACTTTTTTTTGCCTGTCTAAACCCAAAATGAAATTTCAGAATAGGCTTTCCTTGTTCTATACTAACCAGTATATAGATATTATCAAATAAAATCATTTTTTTTTAAATCATTATTTTGCAAAAATATGTAAGTAATTGAATTAAAAATACGATACCTATACAAATAACATGTAAAATATGTGGTGGGGTGGTATAGCCTTTAACAGTCCACTGCGGGTCATAGGCCTCTTCTTAGGTAGGAGGCTTTGGCCTACTATACCACGCTGGCCAGACGAGTTGGTATAGGGTTTATGTCAAGTTTTCCTTCTCTTTGTCGACTAGTAGACTCTTACGACACCTACGGGATGAAAAGAAGTGGTGACACTCCGTATTCTTAATATGTCACAATACGGAGTATTAACCAGACGATATTTAACCAGGGGCTATGTTTAACCCAACAAAGTCAACTGCTTTTGACTCTACACTTAATATCAGTATTATACGATCAGGATACTTAATCATTTTCATCTCCACTTCATATCAAGTGTAAAGAACAGTAAGTTGGTAGTCTGGGCTCGTCTGGAGTCATTAAGGTTACTTAAAAGAAGCGTCGGCGTCTGGCTGCTGGTCTGACCTTTGCGAAATGTATACTGGGTTAATAATAACTATTTTTTGAACAAAATATAACATTTTTTATGTCGTGTTTTTAAGTAATTAGTTAGTTTTTTTTTTGTGATTTTGTACTAAATAACGGAGTTGGTTAGTTAATAAATACAAGTGGGATGTCATGTTACAATAATTAGTTAACTGTGAAAGTGTAATATTGCGGTTTTCTGCATAATTTAGAGACGCAATAATTTTCTATTCTTTTATGGTTTCTTTAATTAAATAATTAAAATATGGAATCACCTTTAACTAAGCGCTTAATAAATTCATAATATTATATGTTTTGTGTCGAAATCTGCATACAGTGAAAATTTCAGCACCTACTGACCCTATATCGCGCAAATAATGTTTTAGAATTAAGATTTAGATAGTGTACCTTAACTTCATCATCATCATCATCAACAGCCTATAACAGTCCACTGCTGGACATAGGCCTCTCCTTAGAAAGGAGGTTTTTGGCCTACTATACCACGCTGGCCAGACGGGTTGGGTTGGTTAATAATAATATAATATTCTGCCACATACACACAACGCCATCTAGTCCCAAACTAAGCAGAGCTTGTACTATGGGTACTAGACAACTGATATAAATACATATATACTTTTTTTTTTTTGTTACCTAACTTACTTATTTTAAATGTTTGTTAACTGTCGACCGGCATGATCAGTCTATGTAGAGGATCCTTAATCTGTGACCGGTAGTCATAGTCATAGCTATTTATTCATCAACAAATTACATTGTAATTGAAATATATTAATTAACAAACAAAACAATAATAGTATTTTATGAACCAACATAATTGTAAATTAATACTTTTTAGCTACAGGTATATTATACCTACCTAGTAAAAAGTGGTCTATTAGATGATTTACCTGAGGTGAAAAATCCTTAATGTAAATACTCGTAATGATAAAAATAGAGCTAAGAAACTCATACTCAAAATATCTTTATTTTATAAAAAAAAAACACACAATAGCAACAATCTCTGTTTTGTCAAATATTTAACATACTAAAGATATACTTAAATCTCATATATGTCTATGCCGATCTACAACCGCCCAATTGCAAGAGGTTGAGCCACATGAGAAGAAAGGGCAAACAAACTCACGGCAACTCTTTTTTAATTAACAGATGCATACAATGGCATCATTAAATACACACAACATTGTTTTGATGTGTTTCAGTATGTAAGTTTTAAGAGAGTACTGAGTTGTAGGTAGAATGAGTTTTACGGATTAGAAAGATTTTATAGTGATCTTTAGTTATTGCATTTATTAGACAAGTGCTGAGACAATATTATATAATATTTTATTTTCGAGTTTTTCACTTTCGAATATAACTTGGACTATTTTTTTATAGTTAAAATGTATACAGGGTATTTCTGTCACGTCTCTTACATCATCATAGTCATTATAATTTTTGCCAATTTTATTTGTAGTCGGTGCAATTTTCTTAATTGAAATGGACTTTCTTAGAAATGTTTTCTTTTTCAAAACGCGTAAAGGAAGATAATTTTAGTTTAGAAAAACAGACAGGCAGCGAGTTATAAGTCTTACATAGGACAAGGGACTTAGAGAAGCCACAATTTTATTTCGTTTGTACCACTAACTGATCTATTCCAATTAGCAAAAGAAAGTTATCAGCAATATCGTGTACGATAAACCTATCGTGTATCAGACAAGCGAGCGTGAATAAAGCGAATTTTACACCTTTTGAAACGCAATGATAATAGCGCTATTGTTTGGACAGCAGCCGGAACCCGGAACAGAGATATGCAGGCTCAACTATCGATTCGTGATGAGTTTTGTTGAAAAAATATTTACAAACGATTTAAACTGGCTGAAATAGCAAACTGGTGGGCATGCTTTTTTAACCCGCTACGAAAAAAGAGGGTGTTATAAATTGAACGTGTGTATCTGTGTGCCTTTGTTTCTATGTTTCTCTGTGTGAGTCTGACTCCTTAAGGGATAAACCAAATTTATAACGAAGTTCTTTATCGAGCGTTACAAGCTCTGAGCGGATGGGAGCGAGGCGAAAAATGTGTAACAATACTTTTTTCCGACACTTCAGTTGACAAGTTGACGCTCATATCTTTTTCATATTTGGTGTATATGGCCACGTTTATAAATATTACTACTTTTGACAGGCCTGTTGGTCTAGTGATTAGTGACCCTGACTGCTAAGCCGGAGCTTGTGGGTTCGATTCCCATCCAGGACAAATAATTGTATGATGAGCACGACGATTTGTTCTGTGTCTGGGTGTAATATATATATAATATGTATGTATTAAAAAATATATAAGCGTGTTCATCAGCAGTCTGGTTACCATAGTACAGGCTCTGCCTAGTTTAGGATCAGACGGCCGTGTGACGGACGCCATTCTCATCTTCTTATTACTCACAAATAAATTTATCTAACACGTTCGAGTCAGACTCTAACTAGTCTTTCATTGATAACAAGTAGACTTATATGTCATAACAACATTGTGGGTATGGGACATTTTAAACATCAATATAGACAGAAACAAACCAGCGCTTTTACGGTGGGTTCTAGTACTCTAATTATTTTTTGTATGACGTGTCATCACTCCTATTGATACCGTGGGTGTCGTTAGAGCCGAGTAATGGAGCAAACTACACAGGAGAACAACACTGCAAAAAGAAAAAACCTGAATTAAACTATATACCTACTTGTCTGGCTGCCGTGGTACAGTAGACCAAAATTTCTTCCTAAGGAGACGCCTATGTCCAGCCTTAACCTACACTACTAAATACTGTTGATAATTGATAGGCGTACTGACACCAGGACTAATTTAACTAGACATGCTTTTTTTATTTATGCATAAATAATTATCACTGAACAGTGAATACATACAAATAAATTAGTACTGAACCCGAATACAAAGTTTGGCAATACTTACAAAACCTAAAATCGAAAGAAAAATTTGCTTTTTGTATGTTACCTCTTTTAATGGCAATACTCTTTTTTTAACTAGCGTTTTACATTGTATGAAAATAACAATGTACCTGTTTCCATTAAATTCATTTTTCATATTTCATAGTAAAGTCTACTAAAAAACGATAGGCACTTCGTTCCGACCGGGGTCCTTGGTCTTGCTATTTTTTGTGGGGTTATCGACTATGTTCTAGTTAGTTTTATGACCACTAGAACATTATATTAGTTACTTTTATTGTAACTTTTGCTCTATGTAAATCTAATCGTTCAAATACTATCAGCTTGTTTCTAAATGTTGAAAAGATTTTTACTCCGGGGGTATTTTAATTTTGAAGTTTTACTTGTTTGATTATTTAATTTATTTTAATATTGTTACCCCATTTATAACTGTTCTTAAGTAAGAATGAGTACCTATAGATATTATGAATTATTATTCTTAATGCAATAAATGACGCCGATTTTTTCTTGTTTGTAAAAGACTAAAATATAAATATGTAGTAGTTTATAAATGGTTAATATTATTATTATTAATATCTGCTATTGTTTACAGGTAAAAGCAACCGCCCCAAAAATGGACAAAAACGGTTACTTTTTCTACGTCACGTCCACCGCTAAGAAAAAGAAGATCAACCTCATGCAGCCTAAACCTCCTCGCGTAGCCTTCGTCGATGAAAAGCGTCGGCCAGGGGTGGCTGAACGAGTGTACACTAATATCTCTATTCCAAATTCAAATAATACATCCAGTGTGGCCCTAACCGCCACGGAGAACGGACGTGGGGACTATATGACGCAGCGAGGCATTTCGCCCGCGCCACGCGCGCGTTTGTATACGCAGCTCGAAAGTTACCAGCCGAGGTACCATACTATTCGTGATAACAGTGATAAGAAAGTGGAGAGTGAGTGTAGGAGAAAGAAGAAGGAGAGAGAAAGGATTGTTGCTTACCAGCCGGTTGCAAGGTTAGTGGTGTTTGTTTTGGTTTTTTAATTGAACACAAAATAAAAAAAGAAATTGACAACGAGAATTTACATTAATAGCCCATATATTAAAATTAAAATATCCGTTGTTAATATTTTTCATTCGCTTGTTGTATTTTCGTTAGTTTAACTTTTAGTTATTTTTAACTATACTGGATAATGTTTTTATTTTTAACTAAACTTGCGCTCACACGTTTTTATAATCTGTCAATAATAATAGCTCTATAAATCCCTTGGATACATTGAAATAGAAATAAAAATAAAATGTAATATTTCAGTGACATTTGTATCATAAGTAATGTGGGATTAGCTTTGTATCTAACCTTTAAAAATTAGAATGAGCGTTATATCTCACCATATCACTGATAAATCAAAACAAAATAAATACTTTGACATCAACTGTTCAAAATTCTCTCTGGTTGGAGTAAGACTATTGGTCTACTGTTAAAATATGTAACCAACACTCTCGTCTAAGTAAATACATAAATTAACATTGAAATTTCGGGTCGTAGTCCCTATTTTATCCTTTGACGTCTTAATGTGCAAATATTAAATTTCGAATATCTAGTTAAATGAACTCTTAGTAAATTTAATAGTAAAAATATGTCAAAATGAAATAATAAGCCTATATATATTATACTGTGTCTCAGCGAATTGTCAGAAGTGGAATTCCAATAATTTGAAATGTTTTTTTTTTAAATGAAAATTGACCAGTATGACGTGAACTATCATTCACCATTATTATCATCATCATCAACTACCTTTAGTAGTCCACTGCTGGACAGAAGCCTCTCCTTAGAATGAAGGTTTTGGCCTACTGCACATCGCTTGTCAGACTTGTTGTTATCGGGTTTGTGTCAAGTTTTCCTTCTCTATTACTAAAACATTATAACTATACTAAAGATATTTTGAGTTTGAGTTGCAACTCAAAATATCTTTATTTCATAAAATTGTTTAAATTTTTTTATGTAGACTCTAAAGTCATTAATCAACACACGCAATAGCAACAATCTCTGTTTTGTCAAATATTTTGCAAAATAAATAAAATCAAAATTATACCTATCAAAAATCTATAATATGCCTGTTCTGATCTACCACCGCCCGTTTCCAAGGGGTTCAGCCTTAGAACTATCATTCTGTAGACTTTTGCATATCGGCGGGTCAATATACGACATCGACATGTGTCTGACAGAGTATTCAACACTATAAATTATTCAGAAATTGAAATGATTCTTCCTTGCTCTATAAAATGCTAAAGCAAATTACACATAAACCGTTAACTTGTAAGGTTGTAAGCAAAACAGTTTAAAGTATGAAAGTTTCACAAAAGATTTTTATCGACCTTCCTTTGTTACAAGTTGCGGAAAGTTACAAACTTAGCGTTTTAACTTTTCCAACTCCATTTTTTCTTTCTATTGCCTCTGGTTTTTACCGTGATCTATTTTAAAATAAATTTAGAAGAATCCTTCATCTTTCTTACTCATTTTATTTTGTTGTATTTTTATTAAAGAGTAAAGAGTCTGGTGGAAGATCAGATCCCTATTTTTTTTTACTTTTTTAAAGGTTTTTCATTATTATGAAATAAAATATTTTGTAATAGACTAACTAACTACAACTAACTTTTTATTCTATTCAGTATTAATTCGAGCGAAAGGAAGAAGTTTTCAATGTATCTTTGCAACGCAACTAATTTCGTCGTAACGTGATGATATAGCCTTGCTCGATAAATGAACTAACAAACCCTGAAAGAAATTTTCTTCTGCTTCTGCTAGGGTGACAGATGGCCTCGCCTGTCACCCCCAAGCCTGCGCTTATGTAGGACGGAGGTCGTTCTGCGACTTCCGGCGCCCGAGTCGTCTGCGGTACCTGGCCCGTTTCCGGGCCCAGACAGTTCTTAACCTATCCCTTTCCTGCTCCATCATCGGAGACGGAGGAGTTCTACGCCTCTGATCCACCCACGCCGGGCATACTGCCAACGTGTGGAGGGCCGTGTCAGTGGTGTCACAGATACTCGAACCGACGAAAAACGTCGGTAGTAGTCGGGGAACTAGAGGTACCCTAGAAAGGAAAACCCTTTTACTGAAAACATTATACCCTTTTCGGCCAGTCATTTATAAATTACACAATCAACATTAATTCCATACACATATCTATCCGTCAAAGTTCAACTTTACAGTACTCAAACTGAGTACAATATTACTTACAACTCATACGGTTCTTTATAAACGTGCACGGAACCCCTGCAATTAATACGTCTCGACTCCTTTTTAGGCAGCCATTTGATCAGATGTTACCAAAGCCTCGAATTATTCCTTAATAAGTGATAGCTCGTAATTGCAAATGCCATGGGATTGGTGCCATAGATGGAGGTGCTTATAACAATCCTCTTAACCATAGCTATAATGGGCAGAATGTTAGTTGTGTTGCTGTTATTAGAACGTATTATTTAGTGTTTAGAAAAGTTTTAATGCACACACTCATATTAAAAGCGTTAGGTTTTATTTATTGTATTGAAAACGCGAGCAAAAAAGAAACAGTGAAAAGTCCGAAAAAAGTATTTCTTTGAAACTTCGATATCGCCTTATACTAGGGTTTTGAAGGTCTGATGGCAGTCACTCCACGTAAAAAATCGATGTTTAACCGTATCGTAATAGACTTAATGCCGACACAAACCTAATTTAGGAAAAAAAAAGGTCGGAGGAAAAAGGGGGAACACAGGTGGACTAGAACTGGGGTTTGGGCTCAGGTAACCTCGTCCTCGTCCTCGTCCTAACAAGGTGATGAGCACCATCATTTAATTCTATTTCTGGGTGTAATTTATCTATGATGTGCATGTATTTAGAAATATTGAAGTAAGTTTATTTTGAAAAACATTCATGAAACAGACATATTGAACACCTAGATTTGGAACAATAATTTATGGATCACACAAAGTGTTGTCCCATGTGGGTCCCACAACATTCAGCGAAGTTCGAAGTAGCGAGGTGACCGCTTAACCCACTACGCCATCCGTGTCTTTATCAGCAGTCTGGTTACCATAGTACAGGCTCTGCCTAGTTTGGAATCAGATGGTCGAGTGTGAGAGGTTATTAATATTACCTTCTGCAGACTGCTTTTTATGCAAGTACATGTTCAAGAATAGAAGTTTTGTTAAAGCAACATATGGAAGAAAAGCGCGATAACTCTGTTCATGAAAACAAAAGTTAATAAAATCTTTAAAAAAAATATTTTCATTTATGCGCAACGTAATGTTATAAAATCGAAGAATTCTAGGAACGCAATACTTCGATGTTAGAAATTACTGGTCTGAGACTGTTGTAAGTAGCGACTTTGGTTCTTCCAGGAATCACGGGAAACGTAAGGCAAAGGCATTTTGCACTCGAGCTTCTTTAGGTATCTTTATAGTCAAAGTCAAAATACCTGGAGTTCATTAAATTCTTTTAAATTTATTTGAAATCGTCTCTGATGTAGACTCTAAAGTCATAGAAAAACACACCATAGCAACAATGTCTTGTCAACTATTTAGCGATATAAATATATACGTATAGAGAATCTTGTGTCTCTTTATATTTATACTATCACAGAAGAACTTATTACAGTAGTCAGATTATAATCATCTACTGAAGCTGACCTGTTAAACTGAAAGCCTGTGCTCCACACATGAGAAAATTAACAAAGGGATATATAATTTGCTACTGACATCAAACGGCAACTAGCACTTCAGCTGTGACTCCTGTACTGTACGAAGCAATGTTGCCAAAGTTGAAAGTAAATTTATTGTGTAATTGTGCATAAAGTGCTCTGAAATAATTGAAATAGAGTTGGAATTGGATTGTTTCGGAGTTCGGGATACTATAGAATCTAAGTGAGTTGAACAAGCGCGCGCTGTCAGGAAAAATTGAATGAAAACATTGGGAGTGATTGACGAAATGCGGGAGACGAATGTTTTGATAGGTTTTTTCGCGTTGTGCCGCCTCGCTCTGAAAATTGGATGCCGTTCTCTTGTTTTTTTACAAACGATGACACAATGTGGCTGTTTTACCAACGTTTAAGATTTATGGCTGAAAAATGATTGAATGATTTGAAATTAATAAAGGAAGTTTAGAAGATTAGATTAAAATACGATTGAAAAATATGTTACTATGATATTGAGGTATTCTTGTAAAGGTTAAGAGTAATATTTTGACAAGAAAAGTGTCACTATCGTAATTTGGTAGTGACCTTGAAGAAGCGCGTTAACCGGGCCTTGTTTCCACGATTATTGTATTGGTATTGGTAGGGGACTCCAGCTTACGCTTTTTGACTCAACAACTGTCCGTTATGTATAGTTAATTAGGTGAACCAACCAAGCTCCTTACAGAAGCTCAAAAGCCTCGTTAAGAGTGAGCTAACTAGGAGCGATTTTATATTAGGTATGATACTATTTCGTTGGGTGGCCACTTACTAGCATTCCCGAATGACGTAGGCAACCATTTCTTCTGTCTTGGGACATCTTCTGCAAAGGGTGCTCTCTGTCGCATTAATGATGATTGATGAATGATGTTCTTTAATTTTTATAATTCTCACGTATTCAGTATACTATTATTTACATATAAAAATTGTTATGTTACAAATTTAAGAATATATGCTTTACGATTGTACCTTTTTAATTTTTTAAGTAGCCGCAAAATAGAATTTAAAATATGCTCAACATAAAAAAAGTCGGATATTTAAATTCTATATATTTTGAAAAGTTCTAAGCACAGGCATATTGTTGAATAAAATAAACCGGCATTGAGCCATCCGCAGCGCAGGGTTCCATGATTCTGTTTGCTTGAAACAAGTGCCTACTTTTTTTCAGTATTTTTTTCTAAGAAACTTGTATTTGTGTAATTTTTTTAAAAAGTTTAAGATGGGCGACTGTTACTCAGCTAACTTAGCCGTGATAGTTTTCTTATAAATTTGTTGTATCTAAATATTTCGTAAACGGGTTATTGCTCTTAACGTGTAGGTTAAGCTTGTACCCTATTT